CACGGCTATGCAAAAGACTGCACGACCCATAACTCTCACTTCAAATGCATGGCTTGTTCCCACAAATATTGGTACCGTATACTGAATCTCATACTCCTGCTGCAGTGGAGGAAAGAGAAAAACTAGAAACAGCGTTTGTCGGACGTCTGTGTTACCGGCCCGAACTTGCCTCAGTTGTGGCATATATTCCGTGAATTCCTCCTATAAATAGGAAAACTCGTTGACAGCCGAGCAAAAATGGAAACGGAGACCCACTAAATACACACCGTGTGACGCCTCGGAGGTAACTTTTTTACGAAGCTCCACTCATTTCTCCGAACTGTAATGGCGCCATTTTGATTTCACCCCATCATCTGAAACCACCAACATACACCAACGTTTTTCTCTAACCTCGTGTCTCGTACTCCTGAAAACCTTAGTTGTGCACAATTAGGCCTAATCAAACACTATTAAACCCTCATAATCACGCGTGTATATATCCGCTCGCATCAAACGCATACCTATCATCTGCACATTAATATCGATTACCGCCTTCCAAATCGGACAGTGCTACTTCTTCACAGTGTTTGAGGATAGTAATCACTTTCGGCTGCCTGTTATTTTGAGCCGCAGTCCGACTTAACTCATACTGCTTTATAGCACACCTTTTTGACATCTCCTGCTTTGAGCCTCTACTGTAGGCACCACCGTCTCCTTTGCTCTCCTGAATGGCAGCAATAAACCACCATGCGCCCTCGGTGGAATCGAGAATATCTTTGATCCACGCTGGTCAGAATTTGCTACGATTCCAAGGCAATGAAAATCCCGAACGATCCAACTAAGATGTTCATGTACTGGGTTGTCCATGAACCCAAGCACGACATTGCGATGAGGGTACCACGACTGTCATACCCAGTCCGATGGCTTCCAGGTAGTTACCATAGCCCTAATATCTCCCATACGAGCGCGTTACGTGTGCCCACAAGGCCGTCTCATGGCGTTTAATTTGCAACAGGTCTTGAAAGCAATGGCCACCCCATCTTGCTGTCTGCTTGTCCCAAGTGTTGTGAATGGCCGCTTTATTATGAGTTTGCGCCGGTGTATGGGACATATATGCCGTGCATATAGTCTACAGATTATTTCCAAATCCAATACAAAAGAAACTGCGGAGGAACGAGCTCTTTCACAAAATTTACCACGCTTAGACATTAGGAGCCATTCAAATACGAATTCCGCGCCCCTAGTGGACTTCGAATATGTCTAAAAAACTTCCAATAAAACCGCAGCAGCACGGGTAGGTTCTAGGGTTTTGAATAAGTACCAGTGAATACCAAAACTTTATGTCAAAATTTTTTCCCTGTAAGTTACGTTTTCTGAGAAATATGAGGTGTCTTTAGGTCACGGCAAGTGACAGAGAGCCGGGATGCTTTTTGCCATCTGCGCGCGCAACCGCTACATGAGTTCACTTTGTGCACTCGTTTAACGCCTTCTTAAATACTCTGAACGTTGTACGGTAGGAAGCCATCAGCTTCTCAGTGGAATTTTTTGAAATCAAAGGGCATCTTGCGGAAAAATGGGGCTCGTTGGCCACACAATGCTCTTAGCTGCAAGGCCTTTGCGAATGGAATGAAACATTTGCGTCCAAATGTTGCACTTTGTTCCATATTTACTTAAACCGAAACCCACCCCAATCTACTTTCACATTTTTGCGGCTCACCAAATATCATTGTCCACTGAAGCAATCGTACCCATGGAGGAAAAAATGGACGGAGACAGCAGCGTAGGTTCTCTTGTTGGTAGGCAAAACACATGAATACCTGACCGGAATGTACTGAACAGCAATCGGATGGTGTAGAGCTCAGGCAATCCCGTTAACTTTCAAGGAACTGGACAAAGGTCTCGTGAGCACTCACCAATCTGCGCGGTTTAGCTCCATCGACCAGGGGAGTCAACTACATATAACACTGTTTTGTAAACGAAAATATGTGGCAAAGTGGATGGCACATAGGGCTGGTATGGTAGCTGGTGAGCAGTGATCAATACCAATATTCTACCTCTTTGCGTTTCGCACACCCATTCGGCGCACATTTTAGAAAGCATTCACGTCCAATATGGTGGCTCGGTTATCCTGGACGGTGATCAGGTAGAACTTCATGAAGGGTGTTCGGGCGTTCAACTCCACGAAGACGAGTGGGAAGATTTTCGAGCATCATATGCGCTCCCGCGGCACTGCATAAGATGCATTAACCTCTCCGACTGACTGCAGTCTTCACTACAAGAGATTGATTGGACACCAAAACCACTCCAGGTATTTTAGACCTCGTCTTCAGCAGGTTGCGATAGTGCTGGCTTCCCCAGACAGCCTCTAAACCAGGAAAGGAGCGTTGGCAATGAACCGGTTGCGTAAGCTCGTCCAAACCGGTGGCTTATAGCGCATCTGGCGGGTCTCATGGCCAACTTTGGCCCTCGTAATCTGGCAGCAGCTTTTGTGATTTGACCGCCTGTCTACGTGGTTTGGAGCAGAGAATTCCTCTATCCAGCAAGCAACGGCTTGCTGAAGAGAGGGGTGCTTGCTGCTGACTGTATAGAAGAGCATATTTTGGTGTGCGTGAGGACGTTTTGGATACGCAAATGTCTAGAGATCACCAGACTATTGCTAGTTTCATGATGCCGGACCCAAATCATCTGGCTACGGCTGGAAGGCCGAAACTGACAGCTGTACATTTGGGTTATAATGGAGGCGGTGCAACCCGTAGTCTACTTGATCCGGATGGAATCATCTTAAGATTGGGACAATTGTGGAACTGTTTGAACAATAGTAGGGTTGGATTACGACTCATCAAGGTTCTTTCCCGCGAAAGCACGTGCAACTCGGGCCTGTTAATGGTGGCCGATTGACCGGGGGAGCGCTGTTCCAGCCTCTTTTGAAAAATATGCATCAAAGCTCGAATGAAACCTGATAGCCAGGGGCAACAGCGTTAACACCACCGGAAATATTATTGGACAACAAAATCTACCGCCCGAGCAAGCTCATCTGTAACAGGCTAATTTAGGCGCGCGGTGATAACTCAGGCCAATTTTTGTCGGAACCGACTAGAGTAGCCAGTACACAATAATAAGCTATAGCTTCTGCGCCAGGGTCTACGCGAACATGAATTCCACTTTGTACCACCAAATCAGCCTATGACAGGCAACAAATATCCACCTGCGAGCAATGCAAGACTCCAGTGTACCGGTTAGAACCACACAGAAGAGCCACTTGTATCGTGTTGCTGAGAGAAACCAGCGGCTCGAACCCAAAGTGGTGATGAGCCCGGCAAATGTTGAATTCTTTTGCTCGTAGGAACCGATACATCAGGTCGATATTGATAGATTTTTTGGCAATCACCACGCCCAGAGAACATCTCACCCCCATTTTAGTACTGCCTGGAAAGTATTTTAAGATTATTCCTATCGATCTGATATCCTTTTCCGCTTCCCTTAACCAAAATCATGGCCTTAATTAAGTCTCCTGCTGGCAAACTTGCGTTCGCGTGTTCTGGTGGCAAGTTTGGTGTTAGGTCGAAATAATGTTCGTTGCAGTCATTGAATCAAAGGTCGTAGATCGCATTCGTCTTTATTGCATCCCAGCTTCCTTCTGATTCCAGGAGAGTTTTTCTCAATGCGTTTACATGTCTAATATCCTGCGTTGCCTTAAATCTCTTGGCATCATTTCTGATACTTTCTTATATGTGGGTAGCTGAGCCCTCACTGTTCCTATTTTGTTGACAAAGTGGCCTTGCGTTTCTTCACTAGGAGTCGCGGTATGAGGTTGCTTGATTAGCTTTTGTTTTGGAGAATCTCAGTGCTCCGGTTCTGTATTGGTCTTCTAAATGTCTTGTTGTGGTGTCTTGATCATGTTAAATGGGTTAGAACACAGCGTGTGAGAGTTTGGATGATTGTTCCTTTTTCGCGCAATGCCCGCAAATGATCCCAGTCGTTCTCAACTCTGATGGGGACTTTGTGATCATGCCTGGCGGTCTGCCACCCACTAGTTGGGAATAATCATTATTCCTATTATTAAGTGGATCACACGCTGGACCGGAAACTTTCTTCTTCTGATAGGTTTGAAACTATAGTTACGATTGGCAAATACAGTAAATTGTTTAGCGATCTTCACATATTCACTGAGGTTGCAAGCACGCGCGAAGCCAAAGGCCTGTAAACTAAGTTTGATTTCCGTTAGAGATTGTATCAAAGTAAAGATTTTTCCTTCGTACGTTCACCGCCCCACCAACTAGAGGGTTTCCTGATACCTTGATTTATAGGACTAGCGAGAACTAACACTGAATAGACTACACAGCTAACCAGCACAGAACGACAAATCGTCAGAGGCCTGAAGGTGTGTCATCGCAGTGGTTATTCATGACCGTGGACCAGTTGGTTTGGTGCGTTCTTCTGAGGGTCATGGTCGGAATTCTTTATGGACCAGTTGGTTTGGTGTGTTCTTCTGAGGGTCATGGTCGGAATTCTTGACTGAATAATAAAAAAGCGCATAAATGAGCCTAGGCACCTTAGCAGAGTTATTTTCGTAAAAGACCACCCAGCATCTCTCAGTCGAAGCCATCTTGATGGTACCAATCCGCTTGTCTTGGACAGTCCCTATTTTCTTGTAAGAAAACTATCCTCGGTGGAGACCTTATCACCATCTGCTAGATAAACGGTTTTTCAAGCGCCGAGGTCTTTCAGAAGTTAGTTGGTCGCACTGTATTTCCAAAAATGTGGGCGAGTACAGGGATCTCCTGCAGCCCTAACCTGAAAACTCACAAACAATGCGTTCAAGCTTGATTCGCATTGGTCAGATTCCGGTTGCGTACTTAAAAAGAAAGAAAACTTATTCACCCGTTTTTGTGGGCAAGTAATACATTTCTAAGGAACTCTTGTTGGAGACTTCTGTCATGTTTTGGTGAGGCATCCGTATGACGCACTGCGCCCATGGCCTCCGCACTGAATATTGACTTCGATTTAAACTGAACTAGGCATCCTACCCCAAGGTAACGCGCCCAAAAAGAAGTCCGTGTGGTGTAATCGTTGCGTGTAGATGAATCACTGTTGGCTGCATTTATGGGTTGTCAACGGTAAGCTGATTAATATTGAGATCTTGGTCGTAGTTCTTCCGATAATTGCCGCTGTCGAGTTTGTGTTTTCTGATGGGCAATCCTCGGGTTACACAGGTTTTATTTGGAAAGGAGCTACGAAAGTCCATTTGAGTCCACACATACAGGCAATTCCAAACGATGACATAAGTCATTCAGGTATTCCTCGATGTTAAATGTGCAGTGTTATCAGGTGAAATTTGTGAGATTCGCGTTTATGACTCTGAAGGAGGCACCTCCAAATTCTCCGCCCGAATCACAGACCGTAAGAATGGATTTGCCAACATACTGCTCGATAAAAATGCACAAGAAACCCTACAAACCGCATCAACCTTGGTGCTGCAGCTAGAAGCTTTTGACTGCGACGCGCCTCCCCATGTTTCTGAAAGGTATGTTAAATTGTTTACGCTGGCTTGCGCACTTACTTGTGTCAGATATACTACTATGTTGGCTAATCAAATCACCATTTCCTCATTGATTTAGTTGAAAAAGCAATTTTGTCCCGTTTTCTTGAAGAATGTCTGATATGCACCGACCGTTATTTAGTTTTGAAATGACCTGGAAACTAGTTCGAGTGGAAGCATTGGATAAATCGCTCATCTGCTCCTGGTAAAGCAACAATTGCCCCTGCACAATACTTTTATAAGCACCGTCCTTAAGGAGTGGCAACTATCTCAGCAGAAAATCTTAAAACGACTCGTCTAGAAAAAGTCGCGATAAATATTCTTAGCGTAAAACATACTTGGTAAAAGTACATGGTTCAGCATTTTCCACTTCCACAAAGGGGACTCTTTGAGAATAAGATTCGGTAATAAGAAGCTCCCAAAGGATAATGCAGCTAACAATCAGCCCTAGGAAGGATTCTAATTTTAGCGCTTAGTTTTGCAAAGTGAGCAGCCCTTGACGGAGGTCGATCGTGTTGCAGAAATGCAGAAAACGAACAATAAAGGAGTCCGAATATCTAGTTAGGTATGCCACAAGAGTACGCACAAATGTAGCCTGAGGCACATAATGAGGGAATAGTGCCAGCTCTGAAGAGGCACCAGGATGAAGACGGGAATCTTCGAAGTTAATGCTTTACGAAAATGCCGGCTGCCACCACCACCATGCTCGCCCTTTACAAGCGCATTCTTTCAAATGTAGCCGAGTGCGCGTGGCTGTAAGAACGAGTCAAAATGAACCATGTCAGATCTGGAATGTGAATTCGAAACTGTAGTGCTATGGCTTTCAGTGCATGCACAGCGACTCATTTTTGAATCGTGTTGGGCCTGAACCCGGTTTACAGGGAAAGAAGCACAGGAATAAGGTTTATATAAAAGTCTTTTCTAGGATCTAGGTTCAACGATGCAACAAAAGTTAGAGAAATTTAATCAAAATGTAAAAACTACATCAGGTGAACGGAAAAGCCGGTCATTTAGGGTTACTTGGCAGATATGAAGGAATTCAAGTTTTTGTGAGCCAGTGGATCCGTCACTTATAGAGGCGCGTTCAAGTAAAAAGCACACGTTCAATTTCATTGTTGTCACAATTTAATCTTGGAGTACAACTTGAGAGTCATCAACTATCTTCCCCTGTTGATGGCTATCAGATATATCGTTTGACAGAATAAGTGTAATTTGGAATAACCACTGGAAGCGGATAAAAAGCATAGACTTGCAAACGTAAAGCTAAAAGTAGTATGAGGAGACTCTGAGCAGACCGATGTTAGAACACAAATGAGTGTATGACTAATCTGTCAAGATGAACCAATTAATTGGGTATATATATATAATACTTTCGGTATGACGAGGCGTTAAGTTTACCGGGGAAGCAATGTATGAATAGTGAACCAATGACGGTAGAGTCCTAACTGCTTCAGAACCTGTGTGAATATGGAGGGTTTGCGGAGTTAAAATAGTTTTCTAGTGAACAAAGATCCTGGTTGAGCAGAATGTCAGTAATCTAACAAAAACTCCGACAGAATAAGCTTTGAGATAATAAAAATTTGTGTAATATGCAGTTTCCCTTGTCCATCTTATGGCAGAAAATACGTTGATTCTAAATTAAGTTTGTTTAATGTTTTAGTTAGAGAAGATTTTGGGCATTTGTATTCGGTTGCTGAATCAATGGAAATCGGATTGTTAGTTTGGGCACAAACTACTACTACTACTTATTTACCTGCTTTCTCTGTGGAATGTGAAAAAATAACTATTCAAGTGCCTGTAATGAGTCAGGCACTAGTGAATTCTTATAAGCAAGGTGCTGGAGATATTTCAGTTTGTTGTTCGATAGAGTTCCTAGCCCTTTTTACATCTATTAACTATGAAAAATTTGGAAAACTCTTCATGTTTTGAGTTGTATTCTAGTTCAGGGTCTGCTGAAGGCAAACAGTAAAATTCCGCATGTCACCAAAGGAGAAGAGTTGTTTAAACAAATACGCAACACTGCCACAAAAACCATAAAAAAACACGGTCAATCATTGAAATAGGATATAGTAATTTGACAAAAATCCTCAAACTTTACAAAATAAATGTTGCTTATCGACTTAAGTAAGCAGCACGCAGACCGAGCCTTCTGAAGTGAGTCAGTTGAGTCCAATGGAATCATAAACTAAGCGCTTTGGACATTTGATTGATTATTTTACGGTCTTTTGCACCAGCAGGATAGAACCTTAGTCCGATATCACGTCTTAAAATCTCAATTCGAAACAACAGCAGATCCAAAATTCCTCCATTTTATGCCGTCACGCTGGTAAATTCAAGATTGTCTGTGACTTATTCTTTTCATGGTTGACGGTGGTTTAAAAGTTCAGCACAATCCAACAGATTTTTTGTGTCACTTTTTGTTTATGCATCCAGAAATGACAGGGTTCCGGCGACTGGTCATCAATATTGCTGTTATTTGTAAAATGAAGTACAAGACTATGCCTTCATTTGCTGTACATCTAATCAAAATAAGTTGTAATTGGGGATACTGTGCCGGAAGTTTTGGCTTCCATAGAATCTTAACTAAAAAATACCCATATTGGTAAATATCAAGATTAAAACGATTTTTTTAAGATTTCTCTCGTAAATACCTTAGATTGTGTGCTAACAGTGTAGAAAAATTTATTTCCAGTGGCATGACAGAGACGGCTCAAAAATTTTCACTGTTGACTTCCTTTTTGAAGAGTCCTGAGTCTCAGAGTGTTAGCTTATGGTCGTTTACAGATTAAGGCAGTGGAAGTTTTAACTCGGCTGAACACCTACTTTAAGTAAAAATGTAACATTTATTCACTTTTTCACCTTCTTTTATCAGTTTGGGTTTATTAGTGGCTAATAGTTTGGTCCTCTATGTTTATGGGGACGTCGATGTGTTGGCGAACAAATTAACAACAATCTGATCAACTGCCAGTAAAGTTCTGGATAATAGGTTTTAGATGAAGCATTCAGCTCTTCTATGTCCTTTTAACTTCAAAACGCTTTTGACGTTTGGGCGTAACATAATCATTTATCAGATTTGCGCGAGTTTCAGTTCGTTGCTTGTCCACAAGTTCATTCGAAATGGTTGTTTGAGCATATCTTTCCCCTAACCAAAGGATATGGGCCTACTAGGTCTATCCATAACACCATCCCTGCTTCTTTAGCTTGGATTTGTCCGCACTTTTCTAACTAGTGGATACAATCACCCCGGTAGTCGACTTTGGAGCTTCTGATTTTCCAGCGCGCAACTATTTAAGGTCCCGAAACTCTGGCAAAACCGTTGATTATTATTTGAATCCATTAAGCTGTTCCTCAGGATAACCCTTCCACCGCGGAGTGAAGGTATTTTATGGCCTCATGGCCTGTTTTGTCTTTCTGCGGAAGTTGCGTATGCCATCAGCCAGTGCCAGTGTGCCGCCAGCTTAAACGTCAAAGTTCACATCACCGAGCTTTGAACGTTGCAACTTCTTTTAAACCAGAGCGCAAGCAGACGGCAATTTTGTTGCTTTAAACGCTTTAAATGCCCAGTTATCTGGTTTCATGAAAGTCTTCTATTGAACTGTGTTCTCAAGCAGACGGCAATTTTGTTACGGACTGTCAAGAAGAGCTAGCGCTTTAAATGCCCAGTTATCTGGCTTCATGAAAGTCTTCTATTGAACTGTGTTCAAAAGTGCTCAAAAGGCACTGTAGAAGATACCTCCTAGGAATACTTGCATGTTACACTTCTCTTTTTTAATTAAATGTTGTTTATGCAGCGTGTGACAAGAGAGTGGCTTGCTTGCTTGAGTTGGCCACCTTATTAATATGGCGTTTCAGCATTGAATATCATGTCAAAGCACTTACAAAATGCGGTAATTCAAGGCCATCAATTGTGCTGTGTTGTCGGTATTGTTCTAAATAACATAAGTCTAAGTACACTAGCCTTGTGGTTTTCATCTCATGGCTTTGTGCATTACTTACTCGATTACCACGTGGATTCCCGGAACATCCAGATGTAAGCATGAGCTATTTTTCTCTCAATTATCCACGTTGGTTTAAGCTTGGATTTTACGGAGCCTTGAGGCCACTTGAAACTAAACCGTTTGGTAATCTGGCATTTGTTAGAAGATTTTTTGTATTTACCCACAGAACGAGTTGAACAATGAACTTGTAGATAACCTAACCTTCGATGAAGGGGTAATCAATAATTTTCTGTTTTTTATATATTACTCCGATATTCGTGAATGAATTATAATGATGCACGACATATAAGTAACCGTAACGGTAGCTTCATGGAATCTCACATGAAGTTTTGGGGCAAAATTACAAAACCTGGTGCTACATTTAAATAATTTGATTCTTGAATATATACCTAAGTATAAATGATGTGGGAGAAAATTCGGACTTTAGGAATCTGCAATCCTGGGGTTGCCAAATGAGTTACAACTAACACCCCCAGCTCGCAGATTTACACCCTAAATCTTTATTAAATTGCTACGACAACGGCCAATGGTTCAACACTTGCTTCCTTTAAACGTTACCGGGGAAATATCTGTGATCGATTCAATAGGATGTACTTCAGTTTATCCTTGATCTAGCCCAAATAAACGGTAATCGGCAAGCATCATCGTGCTTTAAGAGCACCACTTACTTATTCAGTTGTCTATAGACTTCTCTCCCCTTTAATTTTTTTATTGAATGAATACTGAGGAAAAGAAGAGATGAGTAAAAGGGGCTTGAATAAGTAGATTGAAAGGTTATCGTGGATGTATATTTATCAATTAGTTCAAGATCATGGAAACCAGAATATTTTATCAACAAGCTTTTACAAATAAAGCCGAAGCGTTTACGGAGTGTCATCAAAATTGTCGCAATTTAAAGCTGTATTCTTTAGAGTTGAAGGCCTAGGTAAGGGACATCAAACTCTCTTAGTAACTGTGGGTAACTGTATTTGTAAACTGATGGCGGGAAGAGTCAGAACAACTACTGACTTCAAACTAGCGTCTCCTGTCTGATTATTTTTTTCTAACACTCATTTTTGCGCGCTTATGTTTCCAATGAGGCAACAGCTATTTATTTTATCGAAGTTTATTGAGCAGTTGCGTTAAAAATTCTGAGAAAACTAATTCTTTTTATTCCGACTAATAAAAAGATTATAATGATTGCTAAAGGTGGTTTTCCGCGCTTTATGCCATTTATAAAAGTGTTTCATAAACTTTTATTGTACTGAAAGGCGCTCTTTAACTAGATGGTTTACCTTATCCTGCCCTAGTTTGGGTCTAGGAATGTTGTTGTTCAGAGCAGTTTGATGGATTGAAATTCCTAAGGCTGAATATATCTGCCGGCTGCTTTTTCGTTACTGATTATTCATTGGTTGGTTGGAACCAGTGTTTGATGTCCATTTTTGGTTCCGCAACTGGTGCTGGTGAATCAGTGTCACGTTGTGTTAAAAACTGGTTGTTTGTAACTCAACAACAATCCTGCCTTATTCAAAGTTAGGAAGCGAAATAGTTGGGCATCTACCAAATAATCTTACAGGGTATTGTGGTATCCACTTCCAAGACCCTGGATTTTTAGCATATGATATTGCATCGATTGAAAATATGTAAAAGCGATTGCATATAATATTGGTGCAGCCAGTAAAGTAGTTTTCCCGGATGAAGTCCACTTGGTTCTTTTTGAGCATGAAAGAGCAAATGAACTTTATGCTAGCAAAATACTTTAGCAACAATTTGCTTGAAAGAGTGGGTGCCGGATTTTCACTTCTGGAGGTAATTATTACATGGGAAATGCTTGTAACTGAATAGAAAGTTAGTAGCACCAGTCGTAATAATGACTGCTGGTTTGTACGCTTAGATGTGCAATTTGCTCGCAAACGTTCCGTGAGCGGTCCAACTGACTTTAGCAGTACATAGTGAAGTAAATTGCGTCGAGGTACAAAATGCGTGATTGCTGCGTGTACATGGGTTGATGTAGGATCTACTCACTTATCTCAGATAAAAAACAGTGGTCAGAGTGCTCGTTGTAAGATTGGGTCGGCCTTTACCTGAGGAATCTTGCGACCTCTAAAAAACACTCAACCAGTGATTACTGTGGTATTGCCGGTCCGTTTGATCAAAGTAAAGTTGAAGCATACCGCCAACATGCAGATTGCCTTTCATGTTCTGTTGAGCAACTTACATCCTAATTAATAATGAAACATAAAAGTCTTTTCAGTATTGTTTAATTTATCTGGCGGCAATGTTTTTTCGGTAATATTATGTCACCCGGTTGAGGATAAATTGGCAGATGAATAAAGTGATGACCAATGAACACTCCGGGGTTTGCGAAATACACTAAGTGACAAACTAGTTTGGTTTCACTGGAAGACTCAGCTGAATGTGCTGCACATTGGCACGATCTTCAAGATATCGTGCTGTACTTTCTCAAAAGACCGCCACACACAATATTGGTTGTTTATTCACCATATTACACACTACTGAACGTACTATTTAATTCTAGTATGACCATTCTAGACCTCTCATGTTGTTTTAGAATTGGTAAAATCATGTGTTTAAAAGCTGTGTAAACCACTTCCGATGGATATTCAGTAGACACTTTTCTGCTACCCCACAAGGCAGCAGTTTTTCCTCGCAATTCAGTTTGTCCTGGGATCTATCATCAACTGCATAACGACCCAACTATTCTAAAACGCTAAATCCCGGCCTATAACGTTCTTTTTGGGTCAAGCTGCACTCAGGTTTGATTAGTCCCGCCATCTTAAAAATTGTGGGTATGAGACAATCTGAGTGGATCTGATGGGATCTGAATATTAGATGTTATCAGTCATGCAGTATCCCGGGTGGTAGCATACCGCTCCAAAACATTTCTCAAAGAACCAACCATTTCTTATGCTTAGAAGATCGGCTATTGAAAGTTCACAAGTTGACGATTACCCGGTCCAAGCACGTTTAAGGGTGTTTTCTTCACAAGAAGCCATCCATGAGGTTCTTTTTTGGCTATTTTGGCAATCCGTCTAGGAATTACAGCATGCGTTGTCATAAAACGATATATTAGAAATTATCTTACTGTTTTTACAGCATGCGTTGTCATAAAACGATATAGATAAAAATTTCACTCCTTTCTCTCCCGTCGGAAATGTAGCGTATATGCACAGGGTAATTAGTGTACCTTAAGCTTCACTGAACAAAACACAGCGCTTGTCATTAATTCTCCATTGGTTAGTCAATGCTTCCTCGACTCTACCGGCATCCTGAGTCGGTAACTCAATATCCTCGAGGAACACAGCGTGTGATGTAAGTGTTTAAAGGACTCTGCATTCCAAACATTGACTCTATCGATTGGCAACCGGTTGTGTAGCACATACCACTCGAGCTTACCCATGTTTCATCACAAACCACGAAGTGCGCACGTGCAAGTGTGCACAAACATGCGCAAGTGAGCTACACAAAACAAAATAGCATTCGTCATCAATTCCCTCATGCAAAACGCCTCTGTAGGCTAAAAAACACTAGCCACCGTGTGTGCTTGTGTCTACAAACGTTGTGTGACTCCAGCCTATGAGCTTACTGGCAAAGCAACATGAAAGGAACGTTAATCCAGAGTTCGTTTGAAATGGTTCCGACTTACCATCACATGTCTCTTGACGGACAGGTTGGAATAAAATCATGCCTTAAATTCAAGATTGTGAACCACTCCAAATTTCCGAGTTTGATATCGGAATAATGGTCTGCAACTCATCCGAACTCTCATCACTCAAGGGAGACCAATGGTTGACTGAAAAAGTCCACACGGTTAAAAGAACTCCTTTTGTTCTGATTTCTGCTGACTGACCACTCGGCAACACTGAGATAAACATGTCACTTCTTCCTAGAAGTAAGGTTGTGCAAACACTGTCAAATAGTTGAAGCTTAGACCACTTTGGAGTTGTGGGGCTTCAAACACTGCATTGGGTACGTACTACTTTGGTGCTTTTCCCCAGCTGCACCTAGAAGCCTATTGGTTGTGTGTTTTCATTATTCAGTGGGCAAACACCATCTCAGCTGTCTTTCAGCCTTCTTGTAAAGGCGCATTATCGGGATGTTCGCGAATAATCATTGTAATAGGCTGTCTGATTTCCAAATCTCTCCGACATTTTGACACGAATGTGGAGGACACGGAATGTAGGCAACGTGGAAGTTACCAAATAGGTTGCCGCATTTTTCTGCTTTAACTCACCGCAAAGAGGATTTACAGATTCATATGTGCCTTACAGAATCAATCAGTTTTTTATTGTACTCAAGCGCAGTTAAATTCCCAATAGTTGAGAATACTTTTTGATTCTGTTGCTTAGATTATTGCGGGGTTTCGGTTCAACAACTTCAGAAAACAAACAGTAAACAAGATAAGCACTTCCGGGAGCCAGTCTAACTGCTTCCTCCACGAACTGGATGTTTTATCGCCTGCAATACCTAATATGGTAAAGCCTGTCCACATTGTCCATACAACACTCATTTGTAGTGATCAAACCTGATTGATCCTGGTATGATTTTGTTGTGGTCCCCAGATGTAAAGCCCCGCTCTTCTGACTGCGTCATGGCGGGTTGCTGTGTCGATCTTTTACCTTATCAAAGATTCATTTTCTTTAAGAGTAGGGATAAGTTAGAGTTTGCAGCTTTAACACTTCTGGATAAATCTTATCGGCTTTTTTAAAGGTTATTGGAGAGAGTCTGTTACTCTTAATCATGAGAGAACTTTCTATCTGTGGATGATTCTTCAATTAGTTTCTTGAACTCGCAGTTCTTTTTGGGCGTTCTGTACATCTGAAGTAAAGCGTTTCGGTATGGCTGAGTAGTTACCTATTGCCATTTCTATAATTATCACTCAAGTATTACCATCAGGCTACAGCAGCCACGGAGGCTATTACTGAATACTATACTCTCTATTCACTTGATGCTGAGTCTCGAACACAGCTGTGGTAGTCTCAATCGAATCACTATATGCCCAGTACTCTTTGACATATCTGTTGGCTACTCAGAATAATGCTTTATCACAAGGACTGCATTCCACACGTTGGTTGATTCATCGATCACTCAGAATGCAATTTGCGGAGCAATGTTCCCATGATTTGCTAGATACTGTATGGCGTACGGCTGCACTTACTGTGCACGACGTCTTTAAGATAATATCTGACGCGCAAACTAATGTCTGAGATTCTTTCCCAGGCTCTACTTTGCGAAGACTTTGGAATGCCTACATAAATTAGAAAATCTCCTTCATCAACTTACCAAATTCTCTGCACGCAGTCGGTAATCTTGTGGTTCCAAATTACGCTCGTTGTCGGTTGGCGTTTTGCCACCGAAATTCCGTCCTGCTAATATTACACTCACAATTCTTTCATTTGCATCTTTCCTTTTCTACCTGTGCTTCATAGTCTTATGGCAATACAAAATCTATATTACCACTGCCGTTGCAAAAGTTGATCTAGCAACAATTAATTGCTGTCCGGAATCTGTTCTAGAGCACAGTGTACATAAATTGTTGCCCTATCAGGTAAAGTTCAAATAAAAAATTTCGACTTTTCGGACAGCTAGTCCTCCTCTTCGGATTGTCCACTGTACAATCTGCTATCTTTAACCATTTAACACCCCAACGGATGATTTTGTGACCATTCGTTTCGGACCAGTGGCACTTATCCTGTTTGTTTTCATTGCAATGTGTCTTCGGCTAAATGAAGTTTTGTATTGATTTTGGATTATCACCGAACAGCCTTCTAACTATTTTACGAACAACATGGTAAATGTCTCTCTTACATGAAAGAAACAGAGTGTAATTTTAGCATCGGTTTATCACTTTAACCCTCGTATAAAAGTTACGTTCATAACAATATGTTCTCACATAAATGCATAATTCTCGTTTTTTTTCTTTTCTTCAGAGTTCCTCTCATAATACATGTTATCAAACAGGAAGGACCAGTCTTCGATCAGCCCAGTTACATGTTCACGGTCAGCCAGCAAAGTTACAAAGGTACAGTAGTGGGCACTGTACAGGCTATCCAACAACTCAAAGAGAATGAAGATGCTGTGGCCTCTGCAATATGTAGCTATCAAATCCAACCGTTGGAGGCCCCATTTTCTATCGATCGTTATGGTAAGTCGCTTTTAGTCATTCTCAAATGGTCAGAATTGCCATCTACCGCCATCTACCGGAATATACCAGTAGCACGGCTCACTAAATCTTAGGGGTACGTGGGGTGAATAGTTTGTCCTCCAGTGCCACAAAATCATACAATAATTAAGAAGCTCTAAAAATTAAAAATCGGCTAAGATTGTGGGACACTTGTTGCACGTTTATTCAGCACGACAGTAGGCTGGAAAGCACGTGCAAGTTTGCACAAACATGCGCAAGTGAGCTACACAAAACAAAATAGCATTCGTCATCAATTCCCTCATGCAAAACGCCTCTGTAGGCTAAAAAACACTAGCCACCGTGTGTGCTTGTGTCTACAAACGTTGTGTGACACCAGCCTATGAGCTTACTGGCAAAGCAACATGAAAGGAACGTTAATCCAGAGTTCGTTTGAAATGGTTCCGACTTACCATCACATGTCTCTTGACGGACAGGTTGGAATAAAATCATGCCTTAAATTCAAGATTGTGAACCACTCCAAATTTCCGAGTTTGATATCGGAATAATGGTCTGCAACTCATCCGAACTCTCATCACTCAAGGGAGACCAATGGTTGACTGAAAAAGTCCACACGGTTAAAAGAACTGCTTTTGTTCTGATTTCTGCTGACTGACCACTCGGCAACACTGAGGTAAACATGTCACTTCTTCCTAGAAGTAAGGTTGTGCAAACACTGTCAAATAGTTGAAGCTTAGACCACTTTGGAGTTGTGGGGCTTCAAACACTGTATTGGGTACGTATTACTTTGGTGCTTTTCCCCAGCTGCACATAAGAGCCTATTGGTTGTGTGTTTTCATTATTCAGTGGGCAAACACCATCTCAGCTGTCTTTCAGCCTTCTTGTAAAGGCGCATTATCGGGATGTTCGCGAATAATCATTGTAATAGGCTGTCTGATTTCCAAATCTCTCCGACATTTTGATACAAATGTGGAGGACACGGAATGTAGGCAACGTGGAAGTTACCAAATAGGTTGCCGCATTTTTCTGCTTTAACTCACCGTAAAGAGGATTTACAGATTCATATGTGCCTTACAGAATCAATCAGTTTTTTATTGTACTCAAGCGCAGGTAAATTCCCAATAGTTGAGAATACTTTTTGATTCTGTTGCTTAGATTATTGCGGGGTTTCGGTTCAACAACTTCAGAAAACAAACAGTAAACAAGATAAGCACTTCCGGGAGCCAGTCTAACTGCTTCCTCCACGAACTGGATGTTTTATCGGCTGCAATACCTAATATGGTAAAGCCTGTCCACATTGTCCATACAACACTCATTTGTAGTGATCAAACCTGATTGATCCTGGTATGATTTTGTTGTGGTCCCCAGATGTAAAGCCCCGCTCTTCTGACTGCGTCATGGCGGGTTGCTGTGTCGATCTTTTACCTTATCAAAGATTCATTTTCTTTAAGAGTAGGGATAAGTTAGAGTTTGCAGCTTTAACACTTCTGGATAAATCTTATCGGCTTTTTTAAAGGTTATTGGAGAGAGTCTGTTACTCTTAATCATGAGAGAACTTTCTATCTGTGGATGATTCTTCAATTAGTTTCTTGAACTCGCAGTTCTTTTTGGGCGTTCTGTACATCTGAAGTAAAGCGTTTCGGTATGGCTGAGTAGTTACCTATTGCCATTTCTATAATTATCACTCAAGTATTACCATCAGGCTACAGCAGCCACGGAGGCTATTACTGAATACTATACTCTCTATTCACTTGATGCTGAGTCTCGAACACAGCTGTGGTAGTCTCAATCGAATCACTATATGCCCAGTACTCTTTGACATATCTGTTGCTACTCAGAATGAATGCTTCATCACAAGGACTGCATTCCACACGTTGGTCGATTCATCGATCACTCAGAATGCAATTTGCGGAGCAATGTTCACATGATATGCTAGATACTGTATAGCGTACGGCTGCACTTACTGTGCACGACGTCTTTAAGGTAAAATCTGACGCGCAAACTAATGTCTGAGATTCTTTCCCAGGCTCTACTTTGCGAAGACTTTGGAATGCCTACATAAATTAGAAAATCTCCTTCATCAACTTACCAAATTCTCTGCACGCAGTCGGTAATCTTGTGGTTCCAAATTACGCTCGTTGTCGGTTGGCGTTTTGCCACCGAAATTCCGTCCTGCTAATATTACACTCACAATTCTTTCATTTGCATCTTTCCTTTTCTACCCTTCATAGTCTTATGGCAATACAAAATCTATATTACCACTGCCGTTGCAAAAGTTGATCTAGCAACAATTAATTGCTGTCCGGAATCTGTTCTAGAGCACAGTGTACATAAATTGTTGCCCTATCAGGTAAAGTTCAAATAAAAAATTTCGACTTTTCGGACAGCTAGTCCTCCTCTTCGGATTGTCCACTGTACAATCTGCTATCTTTAACCAATTAACACCCCAACAGATGATTTTGTGACCATTCGTTTCGAACCAGTGGCACTTATCCTGTTTGTTTTCATTGCAATGTGTCTTCGGCTAAATGAAGTTTTGTATTGATTTTGGATTATCACCGAACAGCCTTCTAACTATTTTACGAACAACATGGTAAATGTCTCTCTTACATGAAAGAAACAGAGTGTAATTTTAGCATCGGTTTATCACTTTAACCCTCGTATAAAAGTTACGTTCATAACAATATGTTCTCACATAAATGCATAATTCTCGTTTTTTTTCTTTTCTTCAGAGTTCCTCTCATAATACATGTTATCAAACAGGAAGGACCAGTCTTCGATCAGCCCAGTTACATGTTCACGGTCAGCCAGCAAAGTTACAAAGGTACAGTAGTGGGCACTGTACAGGCTATCCAACAACTCAAAGAGAATGAAGATGCTGTGGCCTCTGCAATATGTAGCTATCAAATCCAACCGTTGGAGGCCCCATTTTCTATCGATCGTTATGGTAAGTCGCTTTTAGTCATTCTCAAATGGTCAGAATTGCCATCTACCGCCATCTACCGGAATATACCAGTAGCACGGCTCACTAAATCTTAGGGGTACGTGGGGTGAATAGTTTGTCCTCCAGTGCCACAAAATCATACAATAATTAAGAAGCTCTAAAAATTAAAAATCGGCTAAGATTGTGGGACACTTGTTGCACGTTTATTCAGCACGACAGTAGGCTGGAAAGTTAACCAATTAGGCTATTTCAAGAGATACATACCGAATAGTTGAGCTAGAAGAGCAAAAAATTAAAATTTCATAACAACAAAACCTGAGTAGGTTGGTTACAAAACCGAACTTTTTGTCATGGCTGATTTGCTTCATGAAAAGTGCGAATGGGCCGGAAAGCGATAAAAGCACTGTTAGTCATTCTTTGAAGATAGAGATTACCTTCAATTAACTGATGATTTTCAAAGATTTTTGTCAACAAAGCAGACACCTACCAGAGTAAGCAGCTTGGGAAGACCATAAAGTGTGGGGTTAACCGGGATTTCATCCCTAATTAGGTGTATAGAAAAATACAATCTAAATGTAAACTTTTCACCACAGAACTGCAATTGTAGATGCACTGTAACTTTCTATACAGCCTACTAGAGCAAGGTGGTGAAGTTTTTTCCCCGGAAAGTAAGCTTCAGACATTCATTGCCCCCGCTTTCGCGTGAGTGAGACGCATTAGGGAGTCTGCGCACTGATTGTCGGTTCTTATCGCCTTGTTTTTTGAAAAATTGCAGTTTTTGCATCACAGGTCAGACCAGTGAAAAAACCATAGAGCCAGGCTATTTTTGATGAAGATAATTTTAACTGTGCTAGTGAAAACAATGTTATTCACTCGGTAAATATGTATTAGTTATGCACTTTTTATCCTATATTTCGGCTTATTCACTTCCATTTCGTTTTGAAGTTGTAGCAAAAAGGTTTTCATGCGTGTAAAGCTATATCACGGACCGGATTTCACTCTTCCACGAAAAACTCGATGCGGTTACTAGATGGTGTACTTGCAGCATTTGTTGCGCAGGTCGCTTAAGGTGGTACATTTAGGTGCAACCTCTCCGGAAGTAGGTAAAGGGCTTTAGGGACCGGATAGAGTTTTTTCTTTGGTTTTAGGAAATTTGCCTTTTTGGTATAAAAGTGCACTGGAAGTTACAGCGACACCAGGTTTATCTTGTACAGTCTTTTAATAAAACTATGCTGTCCCTCATGGTTATGTAAACTGACTGTCAGTCCGTACAAATCGGAATATGTGGCCTTTAAATTAATCACCGAAAAATGGAAAGTAGATTTGTCTTCCAGCTGCGAGGGAAGGTGATTCAGGGTGCATTACGTTCTTTGCTAGCAATCACTATAAATTTGACAAGTAACTGACGCTCATGGCGTTTGTGCTGTATGGTGTTATCCAGACCACTCGCGTTAGATCTTAGTTGGTGCCGGCACATTAAAAGCCATTACTAGGTCCATTTCCCACCAAACAGTTCGCTCTCCTTACATCATGGGTTGGTAAAAATTAATCTCTTTTTTGGGTGCACGGTGATGATCTTCAGTGACAGTCGCTCTGACTGTGATAATAACCCGCAAGTTGAATGTCTGACCATCTACTGATTTCCATTTGGTACCATTCCTTTTCACATACCACCCGGGCTCGTAAATGACGCCACTGTTTTAACGCACGCAAGGGTGTACACGAAAACACCTCGTCACACACCACCGTTCCAACTGGTGCACTGCCGGCTGACCTTTGGATTGTAGGTCAGTGTCAACTAAGGCCACACTAAAGTTACCTTAGTTGAAATGCTCTTTAAAGCAGATATTTCGATATCGATGATAATTCATAAATACATTTTTTGTTACCTGTGTGATCCATCCAATTATAATCCTGAGATTAGTACCACACTAACCTCAATCGAAAACTATGTTCAATGTGAGCTTGAGCCGGTTTGCCTCAGAGCATTTCAACATACGCTCCTAACACTTTTGAATACAGTGTCCCAGAGGGAAAAGGTTTTAACCTCATGTGATGAGTCCAGCAGATAACGCTCGTCGCACTCTGTTTTTCAGGTAACGAAAACGGCTGTTATCAAAAACCCATATTCAAGGTTTGATAAGAGTGCATCTCAAGAAGTTGTCATTCTTAAACGCTTTTTCTGCCATTTAACAACCAGTAAATACGTTCTCTCGAAAATGGATTATTCAGTCTGCTTTTTGTCTAAATGTGGGATGCTACTTGTGCCCTGTGCACCATTCTCTCTCCAATTCCTTCGAGTGCTCTTTTTATAGCCAAAAGTGTGTTGTATTTCACCTTGAATTCCTGTTTCGGTGCTATTCACGTTCTTGAGTAGATGGATAGGGATCTGATAATTATTCCTGAGGTTTAGTTAGCCTAAGTTTGGTGTCCCGGTAATATCTGTCGCAGCATAGCCATAAACCGAAGGTGAGATGGCTCAGTGGTTAGAGCGCTTATTTACTGACAGAAAGGTGCGTGGTTCGAACCTGACCTCTGCTTCTCAACTTCCCCTGTTTTGGCTTGAGCAAGCTGGAACTATCCCAACCATCGTGCTTCCTTCGGGTTGCATGGCAGCTGGGCATAAAGAGGGTTCTAAAGCCTAAAGTTTATTTAGTTTCAGTCCTTTCGAAGGATGTAAACGAAAGGAATAAAAATTTTACGTTGCTTTCATTTACTTAAAGATAAATTTATGCCGGATTTTTCTCCTTTTGTTTGTAGGAAAATCGTCGTTTAAGCAGTTCATCTAACACATCCCTAAGCTTGGCCAAATTTACTGTCGAACACTGTAGAAACTATGTCGTTCTCGCCAACCAGGTTCTTTAGTGTTTAAAGTTTATTGTGTATCAAACAGTTTACCTCTTTGGTGTTGAAATTTGGCTACAAAATACTGATGTCTAGGGGGTGTGTTTCGTTTTAACAGCCGTTGGCTGTCAAGCCATTACTGAACCCCAACACTGACATAATAGATGCAACTCCAAAACGATAAATAAATAGCCTCCTGTTATGAAATAATAACCGAAGTTTACCAGTAGATCTATTATCTGGCGTCTGTACACTTTATGCAAGTTCCAACGGCAATTTCTTCTGTAGATTAGAAGTGGGAGTTATCCTGAAGTTATCTGAAGTATCCGCGGATCAAGATCCGATGCCGATATTCCGCTTCGGTGTTTTGCTTCTTAAATCTAACATTGCGCTTCAGCTCGTGATGACAAATGAGCAGAATACTTCGATTTTTCGCACAGCGTCCGCAGTTTCACCTAGAGTAGGAAGCTTTAAGATTTGTATTTCTGTTGTATTTTGACACAAGGGATGATTGAGTGTAGGTCACCATCAGCCCAACATATTGCTAAACTCTTCTCAGTTGCCATTAAGGATGCTTCGTTGTTTCGATTTTACATTGATTCCTGTCTGAAGCTATCCTTCGCTAACTGTGTAAGTAAACTGTATTGGAATTAGGAAATCAGGTAACAGCTTAACCAATCCATGCCGATAGATTAAATCGAAGTAATCTCCATAACACTATTCACTTAGTCTCCAAATATTTCAGATCCGTCGGTTGATCTTGTTTAGTCAAGAATGTGTCTTATTTTGGAAAACGGTATCTTAGCAACGGTACCCTGTGTGATGATTGAACAATGTCCTGATTTAGCCGAGCAATACGCGTTTGCGTAAGATGAAACGAAACACACACATAGATAACCCACGGGTCGATGTGGGCTGACAAAACTGTAACCGACACTGTCAGTTGCGGAGCTGCTCAACTAAACACATCCTGGGATAAGATGAACAGCTAGATGCTGCGCTTTGGCATGGCCAAATATTGATATTTCATCTACGTTCTGTCTGGCAAGTGTTTTCACAGTTGAAATCCAGAATCTCTTACAATGAGACCAGGCAAGGCTAATTGAATCAGACAAAGTATTCGTGCATCGAAGACAGTTATTTGGATGGTTAACATATTTTTTTTGCATGCACCTGTGTGATCCGAGAGAAAGTCAAGTCTGGTACCGTTTTGTAACATCAATGGAATACTTGGGAAACTGGTCGTGAACTGGAAAACATAAGTTTTGAACACGTTACCCTTTCGCCAGCTAATTGTTTGGGAAACTGGTCGTGAACACGTTACCCTTTCGCCAGCTAATTGCAATCCAATCAACTCCAATCAACTAACACTTTTTGCTTATCTTGGCATTATTTTTCTAGAAATCCCACACTAACATTTACAGTTCTGTTTTGAAGCTCCTTTATTTCCTCCACATTACAGTGGCTTTATCTCCAGTCAGTTGCAACTAAGATTAACCGGAGTTGACTAGACACATTCGCAGCCTGGATGCATCCAAACTTAGACTTTAAAAGTTCAGTGTATAAGCAGTCGTACTTCGTTGGCTTGTTTAAATGTGACTCAGATGTTGACCAGTAAATGTTCGGTGGTGGTCAAATGATCATCCTCCGTAGCCTTTCCATCAGATTGCAGAACGAATGCATGTAACAAGTAACATGAATTCGACGAGCACCTTCAACGGTGGCGTAGTTGTGGGTTTTGACCCCGAAACGATGTGGAATATCCTCATTTTGAATATACGTCCGCATATTATGGCCTCTTAGTTGTCAAAATGTTAGGTGCGACGCCAAACTGGATCACCCAAATATCAGTTAACCCATTTCTCCTTTGGCATAAGGGCGGTACTTTGCCTTTTATTCAACTATGTCAAGGATCGTTGCAACTAATCAAAATGAATAGATCTGGTCAGCCGTCAGGCGATGCAGCTCACTTTTTTCCAGGGAAGATAGGCTATTGACAATAGGTCTGACAAATCACAAAAGTATTATCACTGAGTAAATAACTGCAGTTTCAAACCTTGCATGAACTACAAAATGTTTATTTTTTTAAAAAGTTCTCAATCCCAAAACCCCTTGTGGTCTTGTAGACTGACATTAAGCCAAGCATCAAACCGGCCAT